CAAACTAATCTGTTCTAGAGTGGTCTAATTTTTGGTGACGTTAAATGGATGTAAAATTAACTTATTTACAAATCGGCGTGTAGCTGGAATCTTTTGGTTAAAAGCACTCAAAGTGACGGCAGAAGAGAGGAGCGAAAACGTAAACTTCGACAAATAACTGGATTACCCAAATTATATTCGGATTAATACGTACCATCTAATCAAAATTTAGAAGCCTTAATTAACGTTAGTGGCGAGGTACATCCAATTATCGCTCATGTACTACGAAAAATACTGTTGACAAACACTCAAAGTTATTTCGCATATTCTGAAGAAAATACATCAAGACTTGTGTGTTTTGTCGAGATGCGTGTACAAGAAGAAAGTCCACTCATTCTAGTTTGAAAATGAAGGGGCAAACACCAAGATCGTTTTATTTTTGCCGAAAACCAAACTTCAGTTTTTCAAAACCTTCAGGTCCCATACAGCAGGCCTCAACACTCACCTAGAGACACGGCGAGTAAAGGCATTAAAGAATCAGGGGACATTGACAAATATGGAATGATAAGCTGTGTTAGTCGACCAAGAAAAATGAGTTGAAACTAGTCAGTAATCACTGCCTCGCAAAGAAAGTGGAGATGGACAGTGTTAATAACCAAAATCAGAAGAATAAAAGGAAAAATTAAAGGAAGTGGTTTGCGTCAGCGCAGGTAGGACAAAAAGCATCCGTGTTTAAAGTGGGAAAGCGCTAAAGGTTTTATCCATCAACTTTTAAAATTGTTCAAAATTAGAACAGAAGCAATAAGCATTAAAAAAAGGTTACAAAAAAAAAGGAAAAAAATTGTTAACGTCAAAAATTACCACCTTATCAACGCCCTGTTGGTATTTTCAAAAGCATAACAGCAACACACATACCCTTCCCATAGCTGGAACTGCATTTCCAGGCTGTTATCGTGTGGCTGGGTTCTGCAGAGGTCAAATGGAAACATGGAGAAGGAGTAAAACAGGGGGAGAGCGAAAAAAGGACAAGACAAGCATACCTAAGCATACGGTTTGCATAACCGCAGTATGCAACAGGTTGTGGTGAAATCTTCGCATGCGGTTACGAAATTTTTCCAAACCAACAATTAGAAGTTTGAATCTCACCGTTACTGATGTTATCTTCTCCATGCATATCTGTCTGAACTGATAGCGATATTTCAGCACTTTTACAGTGCTTTAAGAGAGTACCAGGAGAAGCCAAAGGTACCAGGAGGCCCATCGAATTTATTAATCAATAATGCCGTCAAATATCAGTGATCGATGGGCCTCTATCTTAAACGTACATAGGTTAGAAATCAAACTGTAAATAGGAGGCTAATAGCGAAAAAAATATAAATGATAAATATTCTTTATATAGATTTTTTAATGATGATATCAAATAGTCAAATTCCATTTACTTTAAAAAGCAAAAAAAAAAAAAAAAAAAA